ATTTTGTAGATTGTGTTTCACTAGCAAATATGATTTTATAAAACGATTCATGCATCATCTTTCACAAATTTTGCGATTCATGCAACTGGATAATTTCACTAAATCCAACCATTTATTGTTCTTTATTTGGTACTAGGCATGGGTTAAGCGTATAAATACACACAATTACATACTGTGAAACAAAAGCAAAGAAATAAAAGATGAAGAGCATCCATATATTTGCAGCTGTAGCAGTACTCGTCTTGTTCATCTCTGGTATGCCTCATCTATAATTAACAACTTCGTACATATGTTATTGTCGGAACACACGATGATTGAGCTTTGTAAATCTCAGATTATGTACATTCTCTCTCTCTTGTCCTTATTACAAGACCTTTCTTGGTAAGACCTTTGTCTGATCTGAAGCATTACTTTTTGTGGGATGGATGCAGGGAATATTGCTGAAGAAGCGATGGAGGAGGGAGAATGTAGAGAAATGAATGAGTTGTGTGTTACGGCGGAGAACTTGCCGGCGTGCCTGGAAGGTATTTGTGGCAGGTTATGCAAAGACAAGTATGGGACAGTTGGGACTGTCGTGGGAGAGTGTTCTCTAGAAAATGATTCAATCTGTGACTGCATTCACCCTTGCTAAGACCTAAAATGATGGTTCTGTTATATATAAATTTAAGTTTGTCTTCTCTATATATTCGTAGTTTGGGTTAAATGTCTATTCTTTCTCTCTCTGCACACTCGCGCATATAAGTCCGGTAAATATCATTTAAAGTTGCGAGTACTCATCAAATCTAAATCGTTCATATATAATTATAATAATATGAATGAATAATTATGAGAATTAATTAAATCTTAGATATATAGTTAGAAGAAATGGGAGAAATGTCTTAGAGGTTGACGCATGATAGCTGCTTCACTTATTGTTTACTATCTCCGATCCTAATTATAAGAGCCAATTAACTAATTTGTGAAGATTAAGGAAGTAAGTTGAGTTACTTATTTGTCCAAAATAGGTTTGTCTTTCCTAAAATATCCTTTATTAATCAAGTGTATGACTAGAATTATCATTATTAAAAGGGTTAGTTTGAAAAAAAAAAAATATAAGAGATAAAGTGGATTGGGCTCTTATATTTAAAATCAAAATAAAAGTCAAACATGATCTTATATTAAGGACCGGAAGTAATATATATTTTCATTCTATTTCTTCGTAGCCAAACAAGTTACATATGTGATCTCTTGTGTCCTTCGATCCTCGATCCTAAGATATTTCCAACATTTTTTCCCCTTAAACATATTTTATAATTAACTAATACACATCATGTATGTGCAATGTGTATATTCTAATATGCTAGCTGTATTAATTATAATCCATAAATAATACGATTTATTAGAGTTTATTTTATATATATCCACTGTGAACCGCTATTGCGCAGAGATACATATATAGTGCAGTTAAAGTAACAAGAAAATAAAGATATTAAAAAAAAATTCCGCTTCTTATTACAAGGATTTAATAATATTTTTACGTAAATTGATAAAACTAGTTAAAATAAATTATTTCTCAGAAAATATCAAAATTATTCTCTGTGGAGAGCTTGGTTAAATAGTCGGGAGTGCGATGTGAGGAAAAAAATATTTTAGATAAACATGTTAGACCATTTGGAAAATTAATAGCAGATTTCACGTTTGAAAGCATTTGGAAATGAAAATGTTACTCCCTCCGTTCCTTATTATAAGAGACATTTGATGCTTATGGCATGTTCCTATATATAAGAGACACTTACAAGTTGTCTCTACTTTTTTGTGTTGATTTACTATTTTACCCATATTTATTATCTCCAACTCATACTCTCTCTCCCTCTCACTTTCTTTCTTTTAATAATTTAATTGTTCTCTCTCATGCTCTCTTCCTTATTAATGAGGGTATTTTTGGAAAAAAATATACTTTTTACACATAATTGTTTTAAACTAATTTTAACTGTTTTTTTTTATCAACGTACTTCGGTTATTTGTCTCTTATAATAAAGAACGGAGGGAGTATTTGACTAAAACTCTATTTTTTTTTAAACAAAGACTAAACCTTTATTTAAATGAATGTGTTGTTGAGATTGAAAGGTTAGATTACTTTAGTGACCCTTATATATATACACCTAGATTTGAAGTTTTATTAAATCCCTTGATGTTACTATTATTGTTAATTAATTATCCGAGTATTCTAGAATTCAGCTTCTGGAAAAGAAAAAAAGAAGAAGCTAAATGTTGTATTCAAACGGAATATAATTAGAAATTTTAAATAAAAGAGGGTGGTAAGGGGGGAAAAAAACAAGTTTCAGCTTCTAGAAAACCTAAGATTCTTTATTTAATTTCTTCATTCGTATAGGTTCTTTTCTTGGACCATTTGCGACATGTTTGTCTCATCAAATTATCGCTTCTTTCTACCAATAAACAAACACTTCGGTTCAACCATATGTATCATTCTATAAAGGCCTCAAGTAATACGTCTTCTCTACGTTAAGTAGTTATTAGACATAAAAAAATCGTACAAGAAACGAGGAAATTTCGAGGATGTAATTCTCGCGGATTCTAGATTGGTTAAAATAATTAGTCTTACCTACTTAATTAACTTCCAGATTATGTCTCTAAGATTAAAAGCAGAGTGGGAAGACAGATTAATGAGACAATTAATAACAATGGAACTAAACCCCCCCAACACACACACAAGCTTTTATGGACTATATTTTTGAATTGAATATATCGTATGAAGGTATAAATAAACATGTTAATTAAAAATATCTGCTGCTGCTGTAATAAGGCCATTGGAGGGAGAGAAAAAAACAATGACACAATTGTATTTCTCCAAATGGCAGGCCACTTGCCAATTAGGTGTCCAAGTCAGCATAATAACTTGCCAAAACAGTTGTTAATTAGCTATATTACACCACATTATCAATTTAGGATTAAATCATTAGACATTAATAATATAAGTACTAACTTGGTGTAGCCAGCTGGCGATGTGTTTAAAAAGTAAAAAGTTGTAAACTACTACCTCCGGTCCTTATTATAAGACCCTGTTTGACTTTTTGTTTGGTCCTAATTTATAAAACCCCCAATCCATTTTGTCTCTTATATTTATGTATTTTTTTTTCCAAAATAATCCTTCTAATAATGATAGTTTCTAGCCAATACACTTAATTAGCAAGGATATTTAGGAATAACAATACTTATTTATTACAAATAACTAACTTAACTTACTTTCTTAATCTCCTCAATAGTCAACTGGGTCTTATAATTAGGACCGGAGGTAGTATATAAGAAGCTATTTTAAAATTAATGTACTTATAAACTATGGGAGCTATTAGATTAATTTTTCAACTTTCCTTCGGGAAAGATCCCTAGAAGTTTCATGGCCACGAAAAATGTATATTCAAGTGGGTTAGAATAAGCAGCATGAGCCGCCAACAGAAAACATTCGTTATTCAAGTCTTTTTTTTTTTTTTTTTTGCCAAAGTTATTCAAGTCTATTATTGTATTATTGTAAAGCTAAATTTTGTCTATATGGATAGTTTTTCTTATATTATTTATTTATTTCTTTATCTATTCTTTTCAAAATGGGAAATTTGACTAATAATGTTTGACACGATAAGCTAGCTAGTTTTATACGACTCAGGTTTATGCAAGTGCTTACCCAAAGTTTGTTAAGCATCTAGAAGCAAATATTTTGTTTCTTATTTTGGATAAAAATAGATCTGTGTGGTGGTGAGAGGGGGAAAAAAAGGGAAGATAAACAAAGTAAGTAAAGATTTTTTTTTTCATAATAAGAAAAAGTGCTCACGTTTCCTTATAACATGGTCATTATATGTGTATATAATTGATGACAGCTATACATGCCTCTTAGATTAATTTTCGTCAACATCAAAATATGTGACGTTTCTAATGATTCAAGCAATTTAGATATATAATACTATTCCGGTCCTTATTATAAGGCTCGATTGACTATTTTATGGAGATTAAAAAAATTATTAAATTATTTCATTATATATAAATTAGGCAAATTAATTCAAAAAAATAAAAACTTTAAAGTGATTTGATAACTTTATTAATCTCCCTAAATTAATTAATTAAGTCTTATATTAAAGACTAGGGATAATAATATCCTAATTTATTATACGCAGTTGAATATTTAGATTTAAGAACGCTAGCTCTTATATTTTAGCATTATAAACAGACTTTCTTTTGATTTTATTTATTTTTTGAAAAACAATCTTGAAAATTTTCTTCTTTTTACACGTTGAGATATTTTTCTATGCATTTCATAAAGGCTATATGTTGCTTTACCACCCAAGCCAAGCTCGAATATTAAGAATAGGATGGGATATATATGGATGGGAATCGAGAATTTAAATCATCAAAATAATGTATTAAAACCAAAAAATACATAGATTTTTTATATGATAATAATTCAACGTCGCCACTAAGTTTAGCTTCTGATAAACAAAAAAATAATTGTTTGTGTGTATCAGTGTATATATATACACATACATTCCAAACAATTCAAAGTGAAGAAGCATATATAGATTAAATTTCAAACACGTAACAAACAGCAGGTCTAATCTAACCTATCAAAATATTAATGATAACACGCCATTTTATTTTGAAGAGGTTTATTAATCCATACAAAAAAACAAACAAAGGCCTAAGCTTTTCAACCACCCATTATTGACACGTGGCTTCATGTTAAAACCAAACGATAAAGGGTTCGTGATGATCAATGAATAAGCTGCCTCCACATCCGAAACTCTGACCACACACACACACGCACGCACGCACACAAATGAACTAATTAAACAAGCAAACTCAACTAAGTTAACCAATCAACGCGTCTGATTCTGACTTTTATTGTCTAGGCTCATCAAAGTGTCTCCCAAACTAAATCACGTGCATGGCGCGTGACAGGCTTGACCCAATCCTGTGACTTGGCCATTTAGACTGCTTCCTGATTCAACTAACTTCACATAACAACACGGCGACGGTCAACCGAGTTCATCTTTAAGATCATTTTCAGGAGTTTTTTTCTTCCCTGTAAGTGTCAAGCCCACCATATCGATCACCCTTTTCAATCTTCTCTCTCAAATATTTATATATATTAAAATAGAAACCCAACTCATCAGAAGCAGCAACCAGAGAAGGAAAGGCGGCAACAGAGAAAACCCTAAAAAGTTACAGCGAATCTACTTGCTGCTGAATTCTGCAGTTTCTTCAAGTGTTTCTGAAGATGATGTCTGCAGGAAGAGGATACAGTAAAAAGCCTGTGAAGATTGTGATAATAAGTACACAGTATGTTCAAACTGATGCTGGGAGCTTCAAGTCGGTGGTTCAGAAGCTTACAGGGAAGGATTCCCATCATCATCATCACCATGTAGAAGAAGAACCTCCTCCTCCTCCTCCTCCTCCTTCTCGAAAAGAGGATTCAATATTATTAGAGCCCAAAGCTCATCAGAGTCATCATGAGGTTTCTGGGGGTGGGAGTTCCCGCGTTTTTATCAGAGACGTCTCCTTTAAGGAGTTCGATAGAATGTTCAGAGAGATGCCACCAATTCATGAGATCTGGTCTGGTTATAATCAGTAATTCTTTTATTTTGGTCCAATTCATTCTTATTCTATCATTACATGTCATGATGCAGAGATCTATATTTTTCATATGTATGATTTTTAATTCACTGATATATAATCTTTTGACGTAAGGGTTGGTAATACGTGGGTTCTAAATATATATATATATATATATATATAATTAAGTCCGTATATATCTTCATAAATATTTTAGCAAGGTGAAGATTGAGGCTTAATTATTAAAAAAATGTTATCGAAGCTTGGATATTATATATATTATCAACCATTGAAGCTCAAATCAAATTATGATTTGCACGGTAGGTTCATCATATTTATTAGAATCGTCCGATCTTATTAACGTTCCGACCTAATAATTTTTTATGAATTAAACGAAGTTTATTACTTGAGAATAAGTCTCAAGTGGATTCTACGAACGGCACGATATTTTTCTCCCACCGAAATTGTTGAAATGGCAGGTGGGGGTCCGGATTCAATGAACAACAAAAGAGATTATTTGACTTTTCTTATGGGTATCATGGAGAAACGAAAATGTGTTGTGTTTGAGAGTTTGAATTTCTAGTTTGTATATATGTTAATGTGCTGACAATTTCACTTTCTCACTTTGTTTTATGATATTCTTGTGCGTTTGGAGATCATTCTAAGCCACCTTTTTCATTTTTGTTTTGTGTGGGAGTTTGGGGTGGCTCCATTTCACCCAGTTTGATTTGAAATCTTGAGCCTTTAGTGAAATTTATTAGTTGATTATTATCTAAGTTTGTGTTCAGTAATTTGCTATTAGCTTTATGTTCTTGATGTCAGGGAATTCCAAGTTGCAGCAATCGAGATTAATTTCTAAAGCAGAAAGATTAAAAATTTAATTTGTATCTTATCATACTCAAAAAGTCAACATTAAGAAAATTTTGGTTTATTTGTTATTTTCTTAGGAGTTTTTAGGCACATTCCTATAGGATTTTTCGCAGCCTCGAAAGGAAGCACATCAAGAACAACATCCTTTTGCATAGAAGAAAAGGGTTGAGTAAAGCTTGTGTTGTTTATTGCATATAACTTCAAAACAAGAAATAAAACTAAAAAAAGGAAGAAGAATAAAGTGGAGTTTTAATTTATTGGACAATCCCTCACTTTCTTCTACCTTTCTTCAATTTTTTGACATAACTCCATCATCTTTTCATATTTTCTATAAAGGACATTGAACTCACAAACTATGAATAGAATGATGACTTATTATAAATTTAGTACATATATGGATGATTAGCAAGGGCGGAAGCAGAGACAGATAGTATTATCGTCTTGAGCACAGAGTCCACCAGCTTCAGAATTAGGGAACTTTTGCTTGCATAAACTATCACACTGTGTGTTATTACAATTCACTGCCATCTTGTATCTCGTCCCACAAAGTTTCCCATTTGCATCAATTCCCTTCACTTCCTCTGCGCTCACAGTTATTTTGTTTTCTGCATATATATAGATATGTTAGAAATATATATAAGCGCGATTCATATACAAAATTAGAAGAAGAAAATGAATAGGTATATATCAAGTTCTTAGAGAGGACATATATAGATATACCAGTTGAGATGAGAACGATGAGGAGAGCTAGAATAGCAAATGTGTTAATATTAGTCTTCATCTTCTTGGTTTCTTCAGCTTGGCAGTACTCTGTACAAGAGTGACAATTAAGTTTGCATTATATATATAAACTCTCGCAAATTAAGATTGATCATTTTCTTAATTATATCAGATCTCTTGGATATGTGATTATAATAAATATTCCTTGTTTGATTTCTTTTCCCTTGTAAAACTGACCCCCAGAAAGGGATCAATTCAGATTCCCTGGGATTCTGTTTTGCAAGTAGTTTTAACAAAATCATTAGGATCCACATTTAAATGATTAATGAGATATTCTGGCCCCACAATATCTTGTTTATGTGGGAATGCCGTGAAAAAGAAAGGATTGTTCGATTTGATTGCATCCCAAATGAATCTAAATAAATGGCCTAATTCTTAATAAGGATTTTCCACTTGATTTCGTTCAAATAAAAACACATCAGTTTGGCTAAAGAACGATTTCCTCCTTTTTTTCCTTTCTTTATATTTTTAGCGCCTCAAGGCAATTACTAAGAAAAAAAAGAAGAATTATAATGAGCCTCAAGGCAATTACTAAGAAAAAAAAGAAGAATTATAATGAGATATAAAAAAAAGAGAATAATTACCAGCAAGTCTCAATGATAAGTGAACAATTATTATTTGCTACTCTAAAATTTATTGTTCTATTATCGCGAGGACTTTTTAATAAGTTTGTTTTTTATTTGAGATTTCATCACAATTCTCGCTAAAAAAAAATGTGTGCAATTAATGGCTTTAATTTTTTGTTGATAATTTGGCAAGAAAAAATATTGGCTTTCGAAATATTTTTAAAATAATATTTATTTTTTGTGTCGATGAAAATTTAAAGTTAAATATTAATTACTAAATTCACTGGATGCCATAAATCACGTGAAAAGAAGTAAGGCGGAATTAAGAAAGAGATGTTTTCAAGAAAAATCCCTTTTCCTCTTCTTATTAGGATCTCTTTTGATCTGTGTCCGCCCATTTTGTTATCAACATTAATTTAATAAACGCGTAATTAGGCCTTGGATTTACTTTTATATATTGGAATTTGATCTCAAAAGTAATTACATAATATCCTTCGTTGATGATTCTTACGAACCCTTTTTTTTGACTGAGTTATCATGATTATTTAGTAGTTGTTAATTTACTCATACATATGAATTTCGTGTTTTTAAAACCAAGATACTTGCATAAAGTATTTGTTTATAAAAAATTGTAATAAAAAAATTTCGATATGTAAATTACTAAATCTTTTTTTCTGCTTTTTTGGGGTAAATTACTAAATCCATGTCACCGTAGGTGGATCCATTTTGATCAAAAAGAAAAAGATAAAAGTGGATCCATTCATTAAGAAAATTTCATATCGTAAATAAAAATTGGCCCATTTTTATTTGTGGACTGGCCTTTTGGGCCCAATAAACATAATTAACGCTTGGGCCCATGCAAAACATGAAAAGCACATTGGTATTGGGAAGAGCATTATAAAATACGAAGTAAATTTTTAATTGTAGGATTTAATTTAGTTGGCCACTGAGCCCACTTTTTCTTTTTTAACTTTTTGTGGTCCAATTTTCTTAAAATAAAAATAACTCAATCAGTTTAAAAACTTAAGTGGCCTCGCCGGATTCATTCTAGAACTAAGCAATGGCCAGTAACGAACCAGATCCAGAATCAGCTCTTGGATCCAAGAGGACTGTCTGGCTTGGTTGACGCAGGAGGCCATAATAGTTTTAATCAATTTAGGTGAAGATTAGTACTATGATAATTGTAATTAATTAATTAATTAATCAATTATTTGGTTAGGTTTTCATGCGGCAAGCAACATACATAGGACAATAACAAACTGATAAAGCCATTGTTATACCAATTTATATACCGTAAGCCTAATGATGCCCAGTTCTGTTGAACAACAAGCCACCGATTTTTAACCAACAATTCTTCTTCCAACACAAATTAAATAGTTAATACTGTCTCAGAATCTACTAACCAATTAATTTGTTGAAAAATAATTATTTATAACAAATACGTGTTAATTTTTCTAAAATATTATTTCTAATTATATGCGTTGTAACTATATATCTCTTAATGGAAACTCTTTTACTATATGTAATTAATATGAATATTGTGGAAAAAATTATAAAATTGAAAAATAAAATAAATTAAAATCTTATATTTATGATCAAAATAAATCTTAGACAAACTAATAGTTCTCGTGATCTTAAACTTTTAATCTATTAATTTTCTATATTAATGTCTCAGTTGTTTATTTCATTGTAATTTTTAATTATTTTTGGTGCATTTCATTTAATTTAGGGTAAAAGGATAACAATCACCCCGATTTTTTTATATGATGCATTTAGCATTATAACCTTATTTGTTTGTTGTATCTAACACATCAATGTTATTTTTTTTAATTACATTCAACAAAAAGAAAATAAAAATGCTAGATTCTATCATATAAAAAAAAAACGGGAGTCTTAGATGCAGTTGAAAAATACTTCTCCGGTTCTTAATATAAAACCTATTTAACTAATTGGATTAGATTAAGAAAGTTAGATAAGTTAGTTAATTATAAGAAATATGACATATTTTTCCTAAAACACCATAATTATCTTTCTTAATATCCTCCCTCTCTCTTCTACTTGATTATGGTTGAAGAAGCATCTATAAAGGTAATTTAAGAAAAATTGATAAATATGAAAAATAAATCTTATATTTAGAACCAAAATCAACTTAACAATTAGGTTATATATTAAGGAGCGGAGAAGGAGTAATAAGACAAGGATGCGGAGATACCTTTATCCTATAATTCAAATAACAAATATGCTTCTTTCATTTGATTGGATACGTGATTGACTGACGTTGAATTGAGTTTGGTAATCCTCTTGTTCAATATACGATCCAATTGTTGAGTTGGTTTTGATCCTAAATATAAAACTTATTTTTTATATTTATTAATTTTTCTTTAAATTACCTTTATAGATACTCCTTTAACCATAATCAAGTAGAAGAGTAAAAGAGGGTATTAAAAAAGATGATTATGGTATTTTAGGAAAAACGTGTTACATTTCTTATAATTAACTAACTTATCTAACTCTTTTAATCTAATCAAATTAGTTAAATGCGTCTTATATTAAAGACTGGAGGAGTATAATATATTGAGAGAGATGCCTCGTGAATCAAAATGCAAATGAAAAATATAAATATGAAGAAGGAAAGTGGGCATAAAATAATACGCTAGGGACAAGCGTCATGATTTTTGTATATTTGTTGATTGTTGATAAACTAAAATTCAACGTTGCTGAAGATATGATTAAAAATCTCCAAATTAGGAGACATCTTCATGGTCCATATATACCCCACTTGCTTCTCAGGAGTTTGAGAGACACCAACACTTAAGATGCCCTTTCATTTTAGGGTAGGTTGGTAACTACCACTCCCCCCACCTTCATTTATCTATATTTATATCTCATTTTCCCCCACCAAATTGATTTCACATTATTGTAATTTTGATGCCTCTTTATGATAGTATTCACTAACATCTCTTTCACATTTCTCACTAAAAAAAATCTGAACTTAAAAACTCCACTTTTGAAACTCATAATATATTATGTGGTATTAATTTTGGATTTTGAACTCTCTGTCATTAAAAACTATACCCATTTTTATTTACATTGCGTGGAATATGGAAAATGATTAATATTGAACAATATTGCTCATCAATGACAAAGTTTGTTATCTGGATTTTTATCTCACAAAAACATATATTGTTGTTGATGATATTTATGCAGGTTTTAAATGAAGTATTGCTCTTGAGCACGATGAACTTTAATCGATTCATTAGATTTTATATAATGCACGATAAATCCATCTCATTAATTACGTTTTTGTTTTTTCCCCAACAATTAATTACGTTTTTGAGAGGTTAATATTGTGCATGATTTAAAATTTTTAAATTAATAGAACTATATGTGTTTGTATACACAACATGAGTAAAATACCTGTATGAGGCAGATGAGCATGATATCGAACACTCTGACATTGACATTCAATTCAATTAATATAAGATTTAATGTATTCGGTAGTATATTTGGCTATAATTAGTTTCCAGATTAAAATTTTATAGATTTGTTAGGTTTATATTTAAGATTCACCTTTTTTTTTTTTGGGGTACCCTTAGATATGTCTTATTTGGACAATCAATGAGATGAAGAAAGAAGTTTGTAGCAACCTTATGGATAATAGAACGTGCCTTTATGTTTTTTTTTTTTAATTTCTTTAAAATAGCGTCGACTTTTAAGATTTTTTTTCCTAATATAACCTAACAATATAAAATGAAAAGAAACATTACTACTCGTATGAGGTTTTGAAAAAAATATAATTGCAAACAAAAAAAATCTTAGTAGCAGGTCAGAACTGAGAACTTCAAGGATGTCATAAAACCCATTAGAATCTTTTCATTTCTTAGACGTTGGTTAAAAAATGTTGGGGAAAGTTTGGTACAAGGGAAAGAGTGAAATTTTTTTGATAAAATCGATTTAAAAAATTTTAAAAATAAAATTAAAAGTTTTTAATTAATTTTTATTATTCTTTTGTGTTACTTCTTCTTTTGATTAAAATTTCAAAACTACTTTTTCAATTTTTGAAATAGAACCCGTTAAAATTTTCTTTTCCCTTCCTTTCTTTTTTACTTTCCTCGTATCAAATAATAGGTATGCATACTTTGGATAAGTTTGGAATCTAGGATTTAGGGATTTTTTTTTTTGTATTTATGGTGAGAAACTTAACACATTCTAAATGTAAAGTTTATTTTGTAATCTAATTTACAAATCAAAATGAGTTTTGTGTTTAAAACTAAGGAGAGTATATGTTTGGAATCGTTGTAAGATTTTTTAAAATAAAATTTTAAAAATTTTACATTGACTCATGTGGACGTGTTTATAATTACAGAGTAGCTTCATGCGAGTCTTAAAACTTAAAAGGCATTCATAATTTTAAAAATAATTTTGTTGTACGCGAAATAAACATGCAAATACGCCGCATTTTCAAATTAAACTGGGAAGGTACGCGCGGTAGGGCGCGTAAAGGTATGGTCCACATTGATTCTTTCCTCGTCTACTACTCCACCGTCCGTGTCTTGCTTCGCATACGTACATAAATCTCTCTCTCTCTCTCTCTCTCTCTCTGTCGCTAAGTTTCCGTCGGATAGAGCACAGAAGCCGAAAGGAACAGCAACAAATTTCTTTAATTATTTTATTTTTATATAAAAAAGAAACCAAATCGCAAACAAGGAACGAGAAATCTCTCTGTTTCTGATCGTGTTCCTCTTCTTCTGAACAAATCTCTCGGTCTTCATTTTCCTCTGCAGAGAGTTCCTCCCTCTCTCTCCCCCCCTTCTCTCAGGTTCTTTCCCGAATTCCAATCTTTGTCCATTTCGCTGTTTGTTTGCAACCTTCTGTTTTATCTACTGCTCGACGCATTTCTTTTTCCTCTCCCTCCTGAAAAGTAAAAAATTACTGTCTTTTCCCCCCCAATTTTATGCTTGTTACAGCTGGTGGCGACTGGGAAGTTACGCCCAATCTTATAGTTTCACTATTCCTATTTTTTTCCCGCTTTATTGCGTTTCTTTACGTTCCCTTGATCTTGGCTCTGTACTTTGCCAATTGTGGCCATTGAATTCCTAAGCTCTGCAGTGTGGAAATTAGGGTTCTTGATGTTGTAATTGTGATTGATTGTTCATCTCAAATTAGTATGCAATGAGTCGCTTCTGTTAGTTTTCTCTGTCTTGTCTTGGAAAGTCAAATTAGGATTACCCGCTTTCTTTTACATTTGATGTTTGCTTCTTTAGTTTTTGGCACCAATGGAGAAATGCCTCTTGACATTAAAATTGTGGAAAATAAAAGCAGTCTGACTCTTGCGTAGCTCTGTTGACATGTGGGCCTAAGGATTTTCCCCTTGTGATAATTTTATTGAGTGTTCTGCTTATCTGTCGCATTCTCCATGCCCTGCAGGACTGTTGGGATGTTTTTCTGCAACAACCTCCGTGAAAGCAAACGAACGAAAACACCCTGTTGATTGATATTGTTGTGTATAAAGGGTTAGGAATGTTGTTCATTGTTATTTCGTCATCAATACAGTCTAATTTGTGTATGGATGCTTTTGTCAAATGTACAAGTGAATAACGTTTGACAGAGTGGGTTGCTATATTTGTTATGGTGTTTCGTCTTGTTGGAGAATTCAAATAACTGTTTATCCAAGAAGTACCAAGTTTTCGGATGGGTAATAAACTTGGGAGGAGGAGACAAGTGGTAGATGAAAAATATACTAGGCCACAAGGCCTGTATAATCATAAAGATGTGGATCATAAGAAGCTGAGAAAACTAATACTCGAATCAAAGCTTGCGCCCTGCTATCCTGGAGATGAAGAGTCTACTCATGATCTTGAAGAGTGCCCGATTTGCTTTCTGGTGCGGTTCATGTTCTTTTCCTTCAGTCTTAGATTTTGTTTGCCTTTTTTTGATACTGTCCCATTTGTATCAATCAAAACTTTAATATTTTGACTTCTTGACTGGGTAAATCTCTTTTCGAACTGCAAATTTGATGGAGGATAGAATATTTCAAGTTTCCAACCTTTTTATACTCTCAGGCCCAAAAAAAGCCTCTTTTTTTTTTTCCTTTTTCCTTGGAAGTCTATTCCATTTTTAGAAGTTGTATGTGACTTTTCTAATTATCATGTTTTTGTCTATTTAGTATTATCCAAGTCTAAACCGTTCAAGATGCTGCATGAAGAGCATCTGCACAGGTAATTATTTGCTTATCTTCACTAGAATATGTCTTTTTAATATTAGTTGTTTGCAATCTGATTTCTTCATTTTACCAGAGTGCTTTTTGCAGATGAAAGTTCCTAATTCAACTCGGCCTACACAGTATCCTGCCACACCAGATTCTTGTCTTCAATACAAAATGATACAGCTCATATATTCTGTCTGTAAAATGTGCTTTTTTTTTTTTGGTTGCTCCTGTCTTCTAATTGTAAGATAATTGTTTTCCTTAACCATGTAAGATGTCCCTTCTGCAAAACAGCAAATTATGCTGTTGAGTACCGTGGTGTGAAATCAAAGGAAGAGAAGGGGTTGGAACAGATTGTATGTTATCTGCCATATTCATTAAATATTGTTTATCACTGTATTTTCTGAAATACTTGACAATGAATAAGCTAATTAAGTTGTACTTGTTCTTTTTAATAAATTAGGAAGAACAGCGTGTCATAGAGGCAAAAATTAGAATGCACCAGCAGGAACTGAAGGATGAAGAGGAGAGAATAAATAAAAGACAAGAAATAAGCTCTTCAAATGAAAATGCGGCTCCCATGGACGTTGAATACAGCTCAAATGCAGGTAGTCTTTCTACCAGACCACTACATCTTATCCCTATGAACGATCCTAGCAATATAAACAAACTTTTTGTTTCTATTCTATAGCGGCTGGATCTTCAATATCTCTTGTTGAAGGTGAGGAAATCATTGCTTCACAAGATTCTTGTGCCGCCCCAATTGTTAGACCACCACCAGCTGCTAGGGCCAATAGGTAGGTGTCTTAGTTTTCATGACCATAGCTGTTTCATCCCCCCCCCCCCCCCCCAAAAAAAGGACTTTTTTTATAATGACTCTGTGTGATGCATTTTCTCTCTGATATTTGAACTGTGAGCATATACCAGATTCTTTATTTTATGAAGTATTTGTATATATGCAATGAAGACCAATAGAACTTACGGATTTGGTCTGAAGTGAATCTTTGTACTCGAGTCAATAATCTCTTCCACAGGTTGAATGATGATTCATGATTATAATAGATGACAAAAGTTGTAGTTTTAGCATGTTAAATGATGGTAACTTGTTAGAAATACCCGCAGACATTCTTGGTTTAGTATTGGAGCATCATTTCTTTTCTGTGGCTGAATTATTTTCTTCTACTGTTTTACCACTCTAGCATTCAAATCTGTGTCATGTCATGGACGTGTGGGCAATAATGCCTCAATATTCTTGATTTTCATGCATTTAACTTTTGAATTGGCAAATATTGCAGGGATGATGAATTTGATATTGATCTCGAGGACATAATGGTCATGGAAGCAATCTGGCTTTCCATCCAGGTGAGAACTTATGTTTGGTATGTTGTGTAGTGAAATGTCTTTTCAAAGAGAATTTCTCTGCAAAAGTGGTTCTGAAATACTAAACCTATGAACATATGTCACATTCTTTTCTTGGTTCAATGGTGCAAATCAATCTGGGAATATTTGCTTTTCTGTTGGTGTTGCTCAGGTACGGCAATACCTTGACATAAACAAAGTGCAAGCAAATTTTTCCCGAGGAGTGAAATATTTTGTTATACTATCTGTGTTGCATTCTTTTTGTCCTTTGCTTGTTTGAAGCGATTAGGGATGGAAGACGTAAATAGCTATTCTGATTGACCTTAGGTGACTGGCTGGGTTGGTCTTTCCTAAACAACAATAATAAATACCTAGGTGCATAAATTTCTTTACTCATGAATTTTGATCCCTAAACAATTAGCTTTTAAATAATACCACCTCCAACACTAAACTAGTTTTTTTATTTAGCACCAAGATAGTAATGACTAAGAATTTATGTGCATCTAATTCCTATATATACCAGCCTCAGAAGTGTATGCCTTCTTAATTCATTGATGATTGGCTTTTAAACTTCCAAATTTGTGTACAGTCAGCTTAGACAGAAGTCTTTATCATGAGATCCTGCTCTGTCCCTTTTGTGTCTTCCTTTTTAATGACAATATATATCAACTTATGCACTGACCAAAACACACACATTATACTACAGGAAAATGGCAGGCAGAGAAACTTATATCCTCCTTATGCTCCTTCTAGACAATACATAACTGATGATTACTATGTTTCACCTGCACTGGGTCCACAGAATGGATCATCATCATCCCCATCCGGTGGCCTTGCCTGTGCCATTGCTGCACTTGCAGAACGTCAGCAAGTTGGGGGTGAATCATCTATGAGCTCCATAAATGGAAATACACCATCTTTCAACATGCCACAAGAAGCCAGCGGCTTATATAGCAGGCTGGATAGAGACTCGGTTAATTATCTGCCTGCAGACAACTTGCATGAGATTCCACCGAATGAAACTATGGTCATGACTAGGGGTCATGGTGAATGGGGGATGGGTCATGTTGCACAGGTGGCTGGGGCAGCAATCGGCTATGGAGGCTCTGTTGCTACAGAAGATAGCAGTAGCATTTCCAGCCTTTCTTTACGACAGCTTGACGACACTGATGGAAGCATTGCAAACGCCACAGACCCCATAGTTCCGGAGAGTTTTGAGGAGCAGATGATGCTAGCCATGGCTGTTTCATTAGCAGAGGCACGAGCCGTGTCAAGTGGGCAGGGTTCTTCTTGGCAGTAGATTTTGTTCATGGGATTGTTTGTTTGGTTTTTGTGCTATAAATAGAAAATGCTGGCCATATCTGTTTGGCTAGTGGAAGCTGGGGTTGAGAGTTTGAGCGAAGTTCAAGGTGGCTGTGCAATTTATTGGAGGATCATTTAGTGATCCTCCCACACGTATATAGAGATCAAATGAAATGAGATGATTCCAGTTATAGGTGCTTAATGCCTTTTTCTATAACTGATGTTTTGCCCTTCCTGCTCTTTCTTCATTGGGTTTCTGTGAATAATATTCCCGAGTTTCACTCATGCCTGGATGCCAATCTTTACAGAACAAGAAAGAAATTTAAACTGCACGTGATTAAAACTGACGGAAAGGCATCGCCTTGGCCCATTTATTTTCTGTTTTCCCCCCTTTTATTAATACTCATTAATTGATGGTTTAATAGAGGCGATGGTTTATATAAACAAGATGATGAAGTTTCAAATGAGTTTCAACTTTGCCCGAATTTGGGTAATTTCTATTTGTAATGTCAGTTTAATATATTAATGAAATCTGTTAAAATTCTGAACAGATGATCATCTGAAGATTCAGCTATAGAAATTTGAACGAAGTCCAGCCAATTAATCTATGATGTTAGACACTTGCGTTGATAATGTAATTTTTTTTTTATATACTCTCTTTTTTTAATATAAGATTTAGTTGACTAATTTGTAGAGATTAAAGAAATTACTAAATTATTTAATTATAGTAATGTCACATGATTTCTTTAAAATTCTTATGTGAATTATTAGATATACCTCCGGTCTTTAATATAAGATCTCATTTACTTTTATTTTGGTTCTAAATATAAGATCTCAATCTACTTTGTCTCTTATATTTATTTATTTTTTTCTAAGATAGTCCTTTTAATAATAATAGCTCTAGTCAATAAACTTGATTAGCAAAGATATTTTGGGAAAGACAACATCTATTTATAACAAATAACTAATTTAACTTATTTTTTTAATCTATTCAAATTAATTAACTACTTTTATATTTACAACCGGAGTAGAAGCAACCAAGTAGCTCATTGCATAGATATGCTAAAAAGCGAGTCCATACAACCCACAGGGGGTTGAAAGAATAACGCTGTTATCGTTGAGACAGGGGTCTTTGATGAGCAAGCCAATTCGCGTATCTATTTGCTTTTCTAGAGAAATAATTGAAGGTAATAATCCAATCATATACGTTAAAATTTTGAATCTCTCTGATTGAAATTGAATGAATAAACAAGGTGATTCTGGGAGTGTTTATTGTTGATGAGCTTCAGAGCTTTAGCAGAATCGCTCAAAACTGAAATTCTTGGAGTGCAAATGTTCTTCAAAGATTGGATCTTGATATCATCTAGATTCCTTTGGTGCTTGAGAAGACTGTCGATTAGTCAAAGGAAGCATCATTTAGTAAAGCTAGCTGCATGTAACTTCCCAGATGGAATTGCAAACAAGAGCAAAAAGCCTTTGCTAAGTGATTTTCTCTGTACTCTAGCTTCCACCCACTTTTTTTTTTTTGAGTCCCATAGGATTCAATCCTCCATAGGCAAAGAACAGAAGGTACTACTTCCGGTCTTTTATATAAGACCTCATTTGATTTTTATTTTGGTTCTAATTATAAGACCCCAATCCACTTTGTCTCTTATATTTATATATTTTTTTTAAGGTAGTCCCTCTAATAATGATAGTTTTAGCTAATAAACTTGATTAGTAAGAATATTTTAGAAAAGATAACACCTATTTATTATAAATAATTAACTTAACTCATTTTCTTAATCTTCTCAAATTAGTCAACTAACTCTTATAATTATGACTGGAGATAGTATTAAGTTAAGAGATTTTGACTAATCTACTCCAAAACCTCTTTAACTTCAACACGATCATAAATCATGTAAAGGGAAGAATAAGGAAAGTTACAGTCAAAAGGATTAGTTTTTCGGCCTAAACTAAACCCCACAATTCTAGAGACATTGTCAACGAAGGACAAAGAAAGGCTTGGCAAGTCTTTCATTTTCTACCTTCTTTAACGTACAGTTCTTGGTTCGATATTATCTTTTACTATTAACATTTTTACAGTAACCCACAAAAATCTTCTTTGATTTTTAATCTTAATAGAAATAAAATTAAGAAGTTTACTCTTAAACAACTAAATTAATGACTTTGAAGTAAGTTTGTAAGCGTCATGAAAAATAAAGCCATAGTACTTATTATCATATCAGTAATATATCATTTCTAGAGGTTTTTTTTCCCAATCAAAGGTTAAAATAGACATAGTTCTCATATGTCAATAATAGACTGGCTCATCATCATCTCAAAATTAAAGAAATTTGATTGATAATTAAAATCCACTCTTTTACAAATTCAAAGTTCCCAAAAGAAGCTAAATACGATATTATTGCTGGGTCCTGTGGGTCTCAAGTTCTCAGCTCATATAGTGAGTGCACCATTGTGTCAAAATCATGATTTTCGATTTGATATTTCACCGCAAAAAAGCTATGAAATTGATCAGATTCTTTAGTCAATAATAAGGGATGAACAAATTGCTTAAGAATACTAATGATTAATCCAATTATTATAATTAAACCCATTTGATTTATATATATATATATATATATATATATATGGAGGGATATGGCCAGAATGTGAATAAAGGGTCAGCCAATAATGAGGTTGGGGCATGAAGTGGTTGAAGAGATATCGTGAACATTTAAACATTCACATGCATTGTCTCTTTTCTCACAAATTTTATTTAATAAATCTCATCCACTTCCCTTCATTTCTTCCTACTCCACATGCATCCACCATCATCACCCAACGTTGTCTTTCATGCAATTAATTAAATAAAATTAAATCACCTTCTATATTATTTGTATCAATTTTTTCCACAATAAAATAAAAATTCCATGAGAGACTTTACAAGTTGAAATATCCCACAGCCATATTCCGATCTCCTCAGATAAATTCTAGAAACAAATTAAGAATTTATAGCTTAAAATTTTTTTGCCAGAATTTATAACTTCAATTTTAACCAAAAGATAGAATCCCACATTGCGTAAAAGTTGTTTGAGATGATTTCAAGGATAACTGATTTTTTTACTTAAAAGTTATTTTAAAGATAAAGAAATTTTTTTAGCTTATGGGGTTGAGCTTTTAGTTTTTCTTCATATTTTAACCTTCTAAACTAATTTTTGTTATTATTTTTTAAAAAATTATATTAAATATAAATCAAGTTATATTAATTAATTTTATCTCTATTTTGATCAGTAAAAGTCAATTAGAATGAAAATCATTTTGCCAACGTTTATAGCAAACAAGTCAAAAAGATTAATGACTAATCAACCATATATTCTTCAGGTTCTAAACATAAAACCCTTATACATACTAAGTCTTATATTTAGGACCGAAGGAGTAACTTTTTTTTTTCCGGACCAGAGACTAATGGGAAAACCACCTAATACAGGTGGTACCCAAACAGCCTGAATGTCCTACTTATACACACTAACACACTCACAGACCGAAGAAGTAACTTGTTATAAATGTATTGAACTTATATATAGTGTAGACTCTTAGTACCGAAGTTATAAATAAAGAGTGATTCCAAAAAAAAAAAAGTAGCAAGAGGCTTATATATTTTTAATATATTTTTAAAAATATTTTTAATTTTAATAATTTGCAACTAAATAGACCAAAAAGTCATACACGCTCTCATTAACATTAAAATGAGAGCAACAAGTTTAGATAAGGACAAAAAAAAAAAACTTAGAATTTGGGTTGGCAATTGGCATACAGTGCCTTGAGTGATTATAGTACCTCAATGTGTGGCCCCCACCCACGTCTTCGGTCCTGTATCTTAGATTAAGGACAATGCTCTGGGGACACATATTTATTTATTTACATAAAAAAAATGCCCCTTTCTTTAATTAAATAATAATAATAATAATTCGGTGGACTTTAATTCAGTGAATGAATAATGAATTCAAAGTCTTGAATTGTTTGCTTGGAATATAGTAGGGACAAAAATATTATATGGTAGTAGGTGGACTTAAGGTAATTTAAAACCACCTTGTTACGCATAAATGTTCTATAGTATTGTGTTATATTGTAGTAGCATTTTAATAGTCTTATCTCTCATAATATATACTTTTATATATCCACCTTAGAACTGGTTATAAGATTCGCAGGATCACCAAGATTTCAGTCTTGTCGAGTATCTGTATTTTCCATTATTACTACAACATGATTAAGCTATGGTTTATTCCCTGAAATTACATGATTATAAAGGGTAAAATATATATATGATGATTAAGTAGCTAAAGTTATCAATCAAGATTAATATTATACAGACTCATTCTTAGATGATTCTGGTGTCAGGCACGTGGACATATTAATTGACAGGATTTGGGCAGATAGAAAGAAAAAATCAAGTGGAGAAAAAACAGAGTCAGAAAACGCTTTTCTTTATTTGATGTCCATTGTCCTCAACTGAACTTTCAAACCTGAAACTCGAAAGCATTAAATTATTAATTATTAGGCTTAATTTCACTGACAAAATTTTTTGAAAAGTTTTAAACTTTAAAATGCATACAACCAGCCACACAGCGTGGGAATAAAACAAGAGGAAAATGTCAAAGATATTCTGAGGAAAATAAAAAGGTTTGAATTTTGGAAAGAGACAAAAAGAAGACAAGCAGCTCTAATGTGCACTGTGCAAGATACAGGTTGGATTTCCGAGTTAACATTTTCACATTTAATTATTGGGTGTCTTACTCTCCAAATGACCCTTTTGTCCTCTTCCTCTTCCCGTTTTTGAACCTCATTAATACCAGCCGCTAGTCTCTCCCTCAGCTTTAATTCAAAATCATTCAAACTCCACTCTCTCTCCCTCTCTAGTCTCCTGTTTCTTTTCTCTTCCTAGCCTTTGTGAGCTTCTGGGCATTCCATTCCCATTTCTTCTTCTTCTTTCTTCTTCTTCTTCTTCTCGTTTGAAATCAAAAGCTATCACACCATTGTTCTGTGTATGCAGATACAGTCATAAAGGTGAGAACTTTAGACTATACCCTGCTTGTTCTGTTAGTATGAAGTTGCTTTTAGATCTCGAGCTTATGGCTTTGCCTTACATTTGATCATTCTGTTGTTTGCTGTTTCTCTTGTGCAAGTCTTTTATGTTTGAATCTCCTTGTAAGGTGTAAAAGTTTCATGGCTATTGCATTTTGCTTTTGTTGCCCCATACTTTTTTCTAGCCAGCCAAACAACCTCATGAACACGCAGTTGATGAATCAACATCATCTCAAGATCCACTTGATCCCCAGAAAATGAGATTGTTTCATTTCTTGCCTGCACTGTTGACCACTGTCTTTGCGAATCCCTTTTATTATTTGTCTATCTTTTCTCTCTCTCCCCCTCTCCCCTTCCCCACACACATTTTAAAGTCCAAACCTTTCAAATGTAACTTTTTTTTTTTTCCAACTCTTGCGATAGTGTTTTACTTTCCTGAAAAGTTGATAATTATTAAGAAATTTAACTAGAGTGCTTACACTTCATGAGATTAACTTTGAAAAGAATCATTATTCTTCTTGTTAATGTTGTGTTTAACTTTACACAGTTTTTACGTTCTGTGGTTATTTTCTGTGATTTTGTCTATATATTTGAGACTTTGATGGGACGCAACCTTTCTGAGCAAATTGATAAGTTTGATACTATCGTACTGATATTATAAGATATGGATGCTTGTATTTTATTTTAGTCCATTATTATTTTAGCAAAGCACATGCTAGTGCGGTGTTATTTATTGGATTGATATACCTTTTTCGACTTCAAGGACAACATGTATGCATGCGTATCTGCTTTTACTTTATCTTTCCCGGCTTTGCAGTCCACACACATTCAATGCTTCTGAAAATGTGATTAATTAAATATTTATTTCTGTTTCTAACGAAAACCCTAACTTAATTCTGATTCGAACTCATTATATACTTAGATTATATATTATGCTCAGAGTATATTCTGCTTAAAAATCCGAATGTAGAAAGTTTGTCAGTAGATGAGGAATCAGTATCCTCAGTCTCAGACATACAAGAATAAGTTCAGAGCGAATATCGCCTTTTCTCTTCTTCTCCTCCCCCCCCCCCCCCGGGGGGGATGATTTGTGCTATCAACTTCACTACACCTTTCACAGAATTGTATGCTTTTGTTTCTATAACGCAGTTGGAGAGATTTTTTTTTTTTTAAAAGAAATGTGTAAAAGGGGTTAGAGTATTTATGTGAGGGAATGATACATTACCATACCATCTGTGGGTTGTCATTTCAAGAAATATATATATTTATATATATAAATTGATATTTGAAATCTTACAATAATTGTGTTACCTATAATATTCCACTTATCCTTCATCACTAAGTTACATAGACCCAGTAACTTCTCTAGCTGCTGATTCTCCTAAGGTTGTTCAAGTTACAATCATTCATGTTTCTTCCCATGTTTTGGTAACAGAAGTAACATTTTTACTGCATCTAGGTGCATTAATGACTGTTTTTGGCTCCCGAGTCCTTACCCACTTGAACAACTACCTCGACTCATCACCTAGAAAACACGGTAAAAAAGTTATCAAACCAGGCAGTAAAAAGGGGGGAAGAATTGTTACAACTTTGCTAGCAGAATCAGATTGGACTTTATGAATCTGGTTCATTCACGCTTCACAGTGTACAGAATTACTACTTGAAGTAGTTCTTTACTTTCCATTGATGGGACCATTCTTCATAAATTTACTACTGTTAATGGACCAGTCACTTTCAAAAGTAAAAGAGAGGCAAAATGCACAGCTCTTAAATATTTATGCTGAGTAAAAAGTAAATGAGTAAAGTGAACTCTCTGGGCACTGTATTCTCTCTGCTCCTGGCTTTATATTAAAGGCGCACTTTTGGCTTGCCATTGTTGGGACACAGGACCTGTGTGATGTGGGGTTGCTTTACTTTTATTTATCTTCTTTCCGTGATATTTATTTTTTTCAAATTCACATGTCTTTCCTAGTTCAAGATAAGTCTTCGGTATCTTGGGTTTGAATCAATTCGCTTTTAGTTTAATAGTCACTTCTTTAGTGAGGTGGCTCCTTCGTGATATTGTAAGTTTGATGCTATATATATGTTTTTAAATCAGAAGGTCATTGCCAAATAGTGTTTTCTCTTTTTAATATCTTTTGAAACTTCTGAGATCTGAAAAGGCAGATTCTGTTCAATAGAGTTATAATTGTATACTTGCTTGTTTATCTTCTCCATTCGAACTTCACATTTGTTTCTTTCATATTTTAGCAGGTAAGAAAGCTTTTATAGAACAAATCCTTGGAAATTTCTGTCCCGTGATATCTATACCGATCATATCAAATGCCAAGGTCAAGGTATGATGATTAGATAATCTTGTGGTCAAGTGTCATGAAGCTCTACTTCGACTTATGTTCCCAAAATCTGTTGCTTTTCTGTTCCGATTTCTCTGTCCTTAAACTTCAAAGGTTGGCTCTACTGAATATTAAAAAACTCTAAAAGGCCTTCTGCGATGCTTTCTCGTTTAATTAACATGTTAAGTCAAGAAACTTATAAATATGGATAACCGCATAGTTTTGAGCTTGATCGAACCAGTGGATGAAGCTTCATTGATATTATTATTTTATAGGGGATCAGATGTGCCACAGAGGCAATCTCCTAGAGGGCCACATCAGCTTCGGACATCAAGTGCTGACTCAGATCCACATCAGCATCACCGGCCGATCACAGATCGAAGCCCAAAGCTAGTAGGAGACCGACGATCGCCAAGAACTACACCTCAATCCGACACAGTCAATCAGAAGAAGCTGGGCACTCGCATTGCTGACTTGGAATCCCAACTTGGTCAAGCACAACAGGAATTGAAGAGTCTAAAGGACCAGCTTACTTCAGCTGAAGCCGCTAAGAAAGAAGCTCAACAAGAACTAGAGAAGAAGGTAGAGAAGCCTCCCTCCTCTAAGAATGTCCTAGAATCTGACAAAACTGAAATCACAGTACCCCAATATGATGATAACAACCAAGAGACCGATGTTTTTGAAGTCCCAGTCGATAAAGAAGCTAAATCAGTTGAAAAGTCTGCTCCTTTAGCGATGTCGGAGCCGGAGAAGCCTTCCATGGAGGATCTGACACAGAAGAAAGATGAGTTGATAACAGAATTGAAGTCCAAGATGGAAGAGAAAGAGAAAGAGACAGACTCACTGAGTAAAGAAAATGAGGATCTGAAGAACCAATTGAAAGAAGCAACATCCAAAGTATCAGCTGCAGAAACCAAGGAAGAAGGAATGATTCTGAGAATGAAGCAACTGGGGGAAGAATTGGAAGCAGGTAAAGCAAATGGAGATAAGTTGAGTGAGAAATTGAAGTGTGTGGAAGCAGAAAAAGAGGCATTAGAGGCTGAGATGAAGAAGCTGAGGGTTCAGACAGAGCAATGGAGAAAAGCAGCAGATGCTGCAGCTGCTGTTCTTGCGGGGGGCGTCGACATGAATCCTCGGATTTCTGAAAGGTGTGGTTCTATGGATAAACATTTTGGAGGCATATTTGAGACCCCTGGTGGGTACAATAACAACGGTCGATTTATTGGGTCACCTAGTATTGGTGAGGATTTGGATGATGGGTTTGGAAGTAGCAAGAAGAAGGGCTCAGGGATCAGAATGTTTGGTGACTTGTGGAAGAAGAAAGGCCAAAAGTGATCTTCCTTTCACTATATTTCATTGTGATTTTGATCCTCCAACTTACTTGAAAAGTTGTCAGTGTCAATTTTAAAAGAGATAGAGTGCATGCTTGATTATACGTTGAAAACACTAAAATCACATGATTTTGGGGGGTTTCCAACGTGAAACCAAACAGGCACAGACATTTTATATTTTATCTCTGAAATTGACACTGTCAATTGTTTTAAGAAATTGGAAAATTCGGGATTTGCTGAATTGATAAGAAAGAGTGATGGAGAGTTTGCAAACTGTTCTGCATCTTTCTGTGGTATTTTGTGTAGCTAATGTTTAGAATTTAGAATCATCGTGGATGTAGTCAGAATTGCATGACCTGTGCAAGCTAGCTAGTGAGAGATGGAACTCCTGCAGAAATGGTATTGCAATATGGTGTTTTCCCTTCTATTGCTGATGAAGGGACGTATTGTTATGGGGCCTTCATGTAAGAAGGATATGGTGTTTTTCGCTGGTATATGTATTGGTGAATGGCGAGACAAGTGCTGGTTACTGGTGTTGAAAATAGACAAGTCAGATCAGACATGTGAATATTCATTTCTTCTAATAAAATTAAATCAAAGAGTATTATGCTATTGTTTCGCTAAAAGAACAACGTAGCAAATGAAAGAAGTTTGCTGCTGCCCGGAAAGGGGGGGGGGGGAGATGAAAGAGAAGTTCTTTTTATATGTTTTCGTATTGTCTGTTTTAAAAGAAGCTCCTTTGATTAAATGCTATGCAATAAAGGAGGACAGATGGTTTCAAACAAAATTTAAACAAAAATAATAAAATTAGTTAGTTAGAATAATAAAATTGCCCTAAAATTAAACTGTTTTCCATTTTTACTCATAAATTAAACAAGACTCGATGCATGGGATAAGTTTTGTAGAGAACTGAAATGTCGCTTTCCATTACAGATTCTGGAAGCAATTAATAAAAATGCTACCATTACAGGAAACTACAGCATCTTTGTAAAGATCCAAGAATTGAGGAGGAAAGAGTGGAACGTGATGTTCACTCATGTCTATCGAGAATGTAACCGCTGTGCAGATAGATTGGCTCACCCAGGGCTGGAACAACATAGCTGAATCGTTTACTGGCAGTCTCCTCCCAGCGAGCTTCATCCTCTGTTGCACGAAGACCTGGAGGGTGTAGGAATTATGCGTAGTATAAGTAGTTAATTTATGTGCATTCTCTTTATTCACCAAAAAAAAAAAAGAAATGTCGCTTTCCACAGATTATTTACTTACTTTGGTGAGCTTTTCATATTCTTGGAATCTGCAGAAAGCTATTTTTGGAATTGCGCATCAAAGATTGCATAAAACAAAAGAGAATGACTAAAGTGGCTCTCTATTAATGTGACTAGTGCAGCTTCGGATTTGAGAAAAATATAATGTGAATGGAACAAAGTTAAGGGCAGTTGTAAACATGTTGATCACCACTAATCAAATGGAAACTCATTCTTGAGGTGGGGTTGAATTAGGCCAGGTCAGTCAAATTAGGATTGAAGAGTGTTTTCCTTCCCCCCTCAGACACAAACACTACAAGTCATGGGCTATAGGGCCTGCAAGTCTAAAATCTAAATAGGGTGAATGGTTTACCAATTTTGACAAAAAAGGCAGTATAGCCCAAGTCCTCAAAACCTGGATTCAGACTTCACCCGTTGGACTGCTTATTAGGAACAGTTCAAAGAAAGTTATTTTTTTTGTTGCCCTTTTAAGTTACATAAGCAAACACTAGTGACCTGACAGCCACAAGTAGGATCGACCTTATAACCTTTCACTTACAGAAAAGTTTTCATGTTACCAGGTTACAAAGCTATTGACAGGGGAAAGTTATGTGTGGTGTAGCAAGTATTGTGGATGCAAAGAAGAAATTTTTGCATGGGAGCAGCCAATAAACTTGAAAGATAGCATGATGATGATGTTCTTGGGAACATAAACATACTTTATAGAATGAAATATAATTAGCCTTTTGTAGATTAATAGAATACTGAGGTCAGAAGCAACCTTACTAAGATTTGCTTCTTATCCTTAGCAACAGAAGGGGAGAGGAGTCTCTATCAACCAAAACAGAAGCAGCATTAACATAACATGTGCTCCATCTACATTATACATATGTGCAACCCCTTCCTGTTCTGTTCTGTTCGGTCAAAACCTATGTTCCTGATGTGATCCTTCTTTGGATATTCAATTCCATTTTCTTCTGCCTTTTGAATTCAACCACATCTTCCCTCTTTGGCGGTTCTTCTTCCTATTCTGTTAGCTGTTACTATCCGAAAATTAGTAGGTCCCTCTGCACTGAAATTCATAAATAAGTCATAATTTTCTGAGTTTTTATATCATTAATTGATGAAAGCAGCCCAATGGTTATGAAATCTGATCTAAGTTGCATATTTACTACTGATGATTAATTATCAATACTAATATAAATATATATATATATTGTTCCTCCAACATTTAGTATCTTACACAAAACTGACCCTTTTTAGGTTCATATCAGATGGATATCTTCTTCGCATATCATTAATACTGATATAAATATATATTGTTCCTCCAATGTTAAGTATCTTACACAAAACTGACACTTTTTAGGTTCATATTAGATAGATATCTTCTTCGCATAATACATATAATAGATAATAATTTTAAGTTTTTATTTTGAAATATTATAATGACATATAACTTTTGCTAAAATGTATATAAAACTATTGAGAAATTTTTTTGCATGAAGTTGATAAAATAAGTAAAAAAAAACATTAAAAAAGAATCTAAAATGATATGTACTATTCATCACTTATAATAATACATCTTCATATGACCAAAATAAATTATTTTAGTTATTAAAAAAGAATTTTTTTTGGGAAAAAATATAGCATAGAGTATTGAAACCTGAGTAAACCAAAAGCAAAACTAATTTTTAAATCCCCAAATATTAGGACTTGTTTGTTTTTATTTTTTGTTTTCTTGTTCTCAAAATAATTTTATAAATTTTTTTTTAGAACAAATTTTGAAAACAAAAAATAAAATAATTTATTTGGATCATAATTTAAAAAAAATCATGTTTAAAAAAAATATAGAAAATCACACTTGGTGGGTAATAGTTGTCGCTCGTAATAATAAGTGATGAATAGTGGATAAGAAAAAAAATTTCTTAAAACTTTTCACAACAAAAAATAGAAAACACAAAAACAAAAACAAAAAACATATAAAATTTTTTTTGGTTTTTAAAAATATGTTACTGTTTTTTGTTTTTTAAAACAATTAACTAAAAACATTTTTTTTTGTTTTTAAAAATAAAAAATTGTTTTCAAAACAAGAAACCAAACAAGCTTTTAGTTTTTCTCTTTTGTGTCCCAGTTCCAGCGCTAAGCTGGCATGTAAAGGATATGTGCCACATAGTTACCACGAAAACAAAGAAATAAATAAACCCCACCTCCTCAAAATTTCCTTCCTAAAAACTGTATCTTATCGTATCTCACTTTTATCTTAAAAAGCAACACAACCTGTAGGATACATATTTGATTTATGGGGAATGAATCTGCATGAAAAGGTTCCCCCCCCCCCCTTTGGGGGGGCCCAAAAAAAAAAGATACCTACAAATCTCAATACGAATTATTTGCATCCAAAAAGGTAAATGTACATTTCTAGAAAAAAATTTAGAGAAATAAGATGAAAATAAAGATTTTTTTATTTATTGAAGACGTAGCTCGAAGAAGTGTTTGACATCAAACATTGACACCCTTTTCGAATCTTAGTTTATCATAATATTATGAGTTATTAATTCCATATGACAAAAAATAAAGATATACTACCTTCGGTTTTAATTATAAGAGCTAGTTAACTAATTTGGGGAGATTAAAGAAAGAAATTAAGTTAGTTATTTGTAGTAAATGGGTGTTATCTTTCCTAAAATATCCCTACTAATCAAGTGTATTGGTTACAACTATCATTGTTAGAAGGATTACTTTGAAAATATATATATAAATATGAAAGATAAAATGGATTGAGGTATTATATTTAAGACCAAAATAAAAGCCAAACAAGGTTTTATATTAAGGATCGGAGGTAATACATATGAATTTTATACAATCATAAAATTTTGTATATTTTGTTTCTCCGAACATTTTAACATAAATAATTTAAAAATAATAAAAAAGTAGATTATAAAACATACATCTTTGAATGAAAAAAGTAATAAACATTACACAATTTTATTTTTATAAATGATAAAAAAATTTCTTGAATTATTTTGGTTATATTACCTCCGATTCTTAATATAAGACCTTATTTGACTTTTATTTTAGTTCTAAATGTAAGAGTCTAATCCACTTTATCTCTTATGTTTATGTATTTTTCTCAAATAATCCTTCTAATAATGGTAGTTTTAGCCAATACACTTAATTAGTAAGGATATTTTAGAAAATATAACACTTATTTGTTACAAATAACTAACTTAATTTTTTTTTAATCTTTTCAAATTAGTTAACTAGCTCTTATAATTAGAATCGGAGGTAGTACTATCTACTAAACCAAACTATGAATTTCTATACGTATTCCATCTCATCCTTATCACTTGATCTAGTATAACATATTTTCGGACACATCACAATAAAGATGCGCACTTTCTACTACTTTCCTTCCGTTCTTCCTACACCAGAATGGTGCCTCCTCGCGTACTTGAGCCCACATGGATCCATATTTCCTTTCTTTTCCTTTCTTAAATTTGTATTTGTGTGGAAACTTTTCTAATAACTTCTTTCAATTGCAGAAAATTTATAAAGCATTAAGATTTGTTACAACAACCCCACTTTAAATGAAGTTGAAGTTTTAAGTATCCATTAATTATTTTGGACTAGTTTGAATGTTTGATAAATGGAGAGGAAAAAAGTGGCAATAAAAGAGACAAATGCTATTAAATCACACTAACATTAGTGCATTACATAAGAAAAGATTTTTTTTTTGGGACACTTTTTTTGCTTCTGACTACTTGAAAAGCAGAGGTGTCATTGACTGCAAAAGATGACTGAGAGGAGTATGAACCCAAAAAGTATCTGACTCATTTTGACTACCCCATAAGTGAACTTTGAAGTTCCAGAAACAAAAACATTAAAAAAAAACAAAAACAAAAAACCCCACTACATTTATATATATATATATATATAATATTATATTATATTGACAAGTGCTCCCCAGCTAGTTGTTTGATTCTTCTTTTGGTTGTTATGAGGCTGCGATCCTCTCAAAGTGGCAAAGTCTATTATCAGCCAGTCTTGTCCCATAAGCCGAGGTCTTATACTCGAACCACGTAAACTCTTTGTACAAGCTTTCTTTGCCTGTCAGTATTAGAGAGGGCAATGGAGCTATCTTCTGGTTCAATGGTGGACCGGCGAAGTAGATCATGGAAAGCCTGGATTTGAATTGGTTCGCTAAAACTCTGTGCTTTACACTCTTGAACCGCCCGTTCGTCATAACCTGCGTGCACCGACCAATACCAATACCGCGTTTAGTTTTTATAGTCCACTGTTCTATGTCACTCCCTATATTAATTAATCAGAAACCAAAAAGCTTTTGACCACTGTGTCTATTACACAGTTCTGACTTTATTTCTTTCTTTCCTTTTTTTTTAAAATGATTTTTCAATTCCACTGAAACGTGCAGTTTTATCTTTCTACATGTGATGACTATTTCACTCACTATCTTATCCATTCCAGCAGGTTTCTGATTTGTTCTACGCCCATTTGACTTCAAGTAGCAATTTTTTTTTCCAATTTTGTTGCCTTTTCTGTTCAAGTTTACTGACTTGACTGTTCATAATTTTAGAAGAGCCTGTTGGGTGGATTTCTACCTGGAGAGAATCACCGACATTGACGAAGAAAGAGGATTGATCAGGAGGAACAGAGACCCAAGTGCCATCTCGAAGAGAAATTTGGAGGCCGGAAGTGTTGTTGGATCTCAGAAGAGCGATGATTTGGGGGTCTGTGTGTTCTCCAAATCCAATCTTGTTCTCGGTTGGATCTTCTTTAACACCATTCATGGCTAGCTCAGGACAAGCTGGGTAATGGTTGAGCCTGAAAACAGAGTCACTCTGTTTATCCGTCACCAATCTGCTAAACACATTCTTTGGCTGGATATTTAAACCTTCAGCCATCAAATCCAGAATCTCACGCGCCATCTTCCTCACGGCTGTGATATATTCATTCAATGCAGACCTGCAATATTACCAAGTTCAGAACGGAACCCAGGATTTTGTTTGCGGAGCTGAAGTCACGATTCAAGGATTCATATATACCTGAATTTTTCTGGGTTGTTCTCGGAAACAGAGGACAGTTTGAGGGAATTGAAATCCTGATTGGTGTTGAGAAGAAGGTATTCGACCCAACCGATGTCACCGTTTCGACCGATGTGTTTGTTACCATAGCCAAAGGGATTGGCAGGGCCTGCTTTGTGTTTCTCATGGAGGGGAAGAGAGAAGAAATTGGCAGCTTCATACTCCAATCTGGATATGGCATCCATGGGGACGCCATGATTGACAACCTTGAAGAACCCAAAGTCCTCGCATGCTTTGACTATGAGGGATTTGGCGTCGGGTTTGGATAGGTCTACGAGAGGGATGTTAGACAGGAATATGGGCGCTGGTTTGGAGTTTCGTACGTAGGAGTATTTCTCGGTGTTTGGTTTGGACAAGACCACCATTTTTTGTTTCGGTGTTCTGTTTTCGGATGATAAATGAACACAGGGAGAGAGAGGGGGGGATCAAAAAGAGAGATTTGGGAAGGGAAGAGAGGAGAGTCGATAAGTTATGAAGAGAGGAAGGTTGAGGAGAACGGTTGGGCTGCCGGGGTATTTATAGCCAGAGAATGGTGGGGCATGCGAAAGAGAAGGTGAAACAATGAGCCTTCAATGTCTAGTCTCCCAAATTCCATTGCCTTCTCTTTCTTCTCATGTTCATATATTAATATAATTGAATTTTTTAAATGTCTTTTATTATTTGCAAGCGTGAAAACTGAACAATAACACTTTCACGGGAAAAAAAGAACATTTTATTTTTCAAATAACTCATGCCTGTTTGGATAATGATTCGAGGATGATAGATTTATGAGTTTATTTTACTATGTATAATTAAGAATTCACCGACTTCTTTTGTGTTTTTCAATATTTAAGAAGTTATATTTTTTTTATGAATTTTCAAGTATACTAAAGGCTACTTCCTTTTCTTTATCTGTTTTTTTTTTTTAAATTTCATCTGACATCTTTTTAGCCTCTGCCTCTTGTTATTAACATTTGCCTTCAGAACATTAAGATTCAACTGCATCAAAGTAGAAAGAATTGGCTAATTTCTTCTGCCTACACTAATGAAATTGAAGAGTATCCGATATTTTTTTTAATATTATCTCTTTATTTTTCAATCGTACTTCTTGCAAATTGTATTACGCTGTTCATCTCTGTTTCTAAGGACAAAAAACAGTGGTATTACTCTGTTTTGGATATGATCCACTTTTTCATAACTTTTATATCCATGAATGTAAGTGTAAATCTTGGGTGTGAAAACCAAAAAATATAACTGTTTGGGCCTTTGGGGTTTACTGCAAGCTCACTTTCTAGCTTTGTGTTCACATTGTCTCGTGATCATTCTCTCAGCCTCTCTAGTTCTTTTCAGATGTTAGGACCAATATGTAAAAACAACCTCCACTTTTGCGCATGTGAAAATAAAGCTTCAATAAAAGGTATTAATATTTTGTGTTATTGCCTCTTGTCTTGTATATAAAACTTTATTCATAGATTACAAGCAAAATCTTATACTCTTCTGATTCTAAATATAAAACCCTTATACTAACTAGTAGCTATTAAGGATTTTTTGTGAAATTATTCATATATATTGTGGGGAAGAATAATTATCTGAGTTTATCTTTTAGAACAGATCTTAATTCTCAAGTAGCATGGCATGGCTCTTTGAATCTTATCCATGAATCCCCTGCCCTCCCTGACAAAAAGAAATCTTATCCTGAACAAGGAAATTTTAGGCATGTTAATTAAAGCAAATGGAAGGAAATCTAATTCTAGAGATTAATTATTAATTAATTAATTATAAAAAAGAAAGTTAAAAAGAGGAGTGGGTAAGATTATATTCTCTTTTTTAATGAGTTACCGACCTTTATGAAAATGGAATGGACATCACAATCCTTGCTGAAAGGCAGTCCGGTCATCACCTGCCTTAGTATTATCTTAGATTTCCTTCCACTAAAATATACATATGACCTCTTTATCTCGCTCAAAAAGTCTTGTCACATCACTTAGATTCCTTTGATACATGCCCCTTTCTGTTCTTCTTTTCCTTTTCATTATCTTCTTCTTTTTACTTTTTTACTGTTCTCATTGCTGCCAAATTCCTTCAAGGCTCATCCAGAACAGGAATACTTAAATAATATCATGTGGGAAACCAAAAAGATTGTAACTTTTTAATTAGATTTTTTAATTTTGAAATTTTGAATAAGCAAATTCAATTGAAACTTGGTTTCTTGCTGCAAGAGCAGACAGGTGGCCAGAGCTGATCCCAGATAAGGGATCAACTGATCGACATATAGACTTTTTGAAGCAATATTAATTAATTTATAAGTATAAAAGGGCCCTTACTGTATTTTTTTCAGGTGCATTCCCCTTCGTATAAGAATCTTGATTCTTATTCATCCAAATCTTAGCTTTCCCAAAATGGTAGGCTATGGATATGTCTAGATTGTGCCCATTTTCGGTTAACCTTTCTTTTCTAAAAAAAATGTTTTACAATAATTCAAATCCCAATTACACGCTTTGGACCTTATCTGTACCATCAATTTATGTTGATATGCTCTCTCTTTTGCTCCATATATCCTTGCAAAAGATGAAATTTTAGGTTATCAGCCAAAAGTTTGGCAATGCAAGGCACACGTTATTAATAATTAGAATAAAATATCAATAATTAGTATAAGAACTCAATGACATCTCAAACATGTCCTAATCTATCTATCAGTTACATTGAGATCGTATTTATTACTAATGCAGCAGGAACTTTCTGCTTCTATTCTAGAGAGTTGTCCCCCCCTTTTTTCCGTTTGTCTTGTCCTTCGTTTGGTAAGAGGAAAAATTTCAATGAGATATGAGTAATGTAGTAACTAGTAAGCATGTTTACCCATATTTGTTTTAGGAGATGTTTGGCAATAAGTAAAAGTGCTTTTAAAAATTACTTTTCCGTGAGACGAAACAAACTCATCCACGTATTTATTTTATGTAAGATAAAAATATTTTTAAAATTATGGTTTGATTTCCACCCAAACACTCTCTTAGAATATAAGCAAATACTTGAATATCTACATCTCTTTTAAGTGAAACCTCTACCTCTTTTATATAATTTCAAAAATATCAGTACCCTTCTTCACTACGTTTGTTTTTAAAATAATAGATATAAATTACCTAAATAAAAACTACTTCTCATAATAATGTACTTACATAATTGACAATCATTGTTTTAGGTGGACTTAAAAAGTATAAGAAGTGACACTCAAGTCAGTTTCACTCTAAGTGAAAAATAGGGGCATTTATTGTTTATATATGCAGTGATTTTGTTGAGGAGATACAAATCGTTATCTAAAGGAGTCTGAATTTGTGAACAAGATCAAAATATATGATCCAAGAGATCCTATGAAAGGGAAAGGATATGGTTTTGTGAGGAACATGGTTAGGGTTGGCCATGCACATTTTGAGGAAATTGTGAGTGTGGGCATATATATGGTCCCTCTCAACTTGTGGAAAAAAATCATATGTAAATATGGTAATTTTTAATATTTAGTACCAACTATTTTAAGATTTTTTATTTTTCAAAATATCTGATGCAATAAACACCAACACATCAAAATCAAGTGAAAGGAGGGTTAATTAAATGAGAAAGGGAATATAGAATGATAGTATAGATATTAATACAAGAAAGGTGAAAATCAAGGGATGGGGATGCGGAGTAAGTGAGGAGACAATGGCAGTGTGGTGGGCTCTGCCTGCTGAGCATCTCTGACTCCCCCGGGGGACCATTCTCTCTCCCTCCTCTTCTTCAATTTTGATTTCCCTTTCCCCTCTTCATTCCTTCCTTTTGATTACTACTCTTCCGGTTCTAAATGTAAAATCCTTATATATAGTATTATTTCCTATTTAATTTCATAATATTCAATTTTTAATTAAAATAAATAATTTTTTAATATTATATACTCTCCTTGTTCACAGTATAAGTCACTTATAAAAGAATCGTTCAGTTTAGAATACAAGTTACTTAGAGAGTAAATAATGTTTATCTATCAATTTTGTTTCTGTTATTAATATTCAAGTGTAACTTTTTATATTTTTCTCTTCCCTTTATCACCTCATTTAGTATGAACAAAATTTTTTAAAAAAATTAAATTTTTAGGCGAATTTAATAAATTAAAAATCACTTCTTGATTTTGATAAATTAATTAATGTGACTTATATTATGTATGAAAAGAAATATATGTTTAAGATATAAATATTGAAAAATTCTTTTTTTAAAAAAATTTAGTCATGCATCGTACTTCATACTACCTCTAATCTTAATTATAAGATCTCGTTTGTAGACAATAAACAAGGTCTTATAATTAAAACCGGAGGTGGTAGCCTTCTTTTTAAGTTATCAGAGTCTAGAAGACATTATGCACTCCACATCTGTCCCTTCCTTGGGACCAGGCTTCTTCTTTTTCCTCTTCATTATTACCATTATTAATTATTTAATTAATTACTAATATTGTTATATTCACCCCTCTTTCTCCCGTCCATATCAGTCTCTCCCAATAAGAATCTCCATCCCTCTCATTGAATCTAGATGACATTTCTGCTTATCTTCTTTCTTATATATTTTCACTGTACATGTTCCCAACATTTTATTACTATTGAAGAAGCATTTTTTAAATGAATCCATGAGGCAATGTAATTTAATAATATACAAAAAAAGCCAGTTGTATCCATAACAGAAAACCGAACTAATTAAAAAAAAAGGAATTTTTTTAATTCAAGTGTGAAATATAAAAATTGATAAAAATTAAGGGGGGAATATATAGGTCATGGTTGGAAAAGGCAGTCAGCAGTGTCTTAAATCAGAGTGTGGGGGCAGCCACCAGCCATGAAAGGGAGCTTGAGGTTGAGATTGAGAGCGACTCATACATTGAAACTTTGATACGTCTTTCTCCAATATATAAATATAAATATATATATATATATATATATATATAAGGGTTGGCAATAATAAGAATAATATGACGATGATAATGATAATGAGGGACAGGAGAACAGAATATACCAGCATTGTGTTTTATTAATTAATTAGTTAATTAATATAATGATATTATCCATTTAACTAATTAAGTTGGGTAGGCTTGCTCAACTTTTTGGCACCCCATTAATTATTTATGTGTGTCGGCCTAATTAATGACTCATTAGAATAATGTGTTATTTTTTTAAAGTTAGCTTATTACTAGTATTTAATTAAGTGGAATTTAGGTGACTTGTTAATTAATGGCACAAATGATAAGGTGGCCGCCTTTTGACTCATCAAATAATTCAACTGTTAACCACTACTATATCATTAAAATATCTCCATATCTGTTTTTAAATTGAAGGCTTAAGTTAAGCTTCCATGCTCATCATATATATATATATATATATATATATTTATATCTAGTCTCTTCAACTTATAAATATAAAATATTAGTGGTATTTTCAAGAGGGAAACTCGTTCTTTAAAAAATGGAGTATGGTAGGCATTAAATTAAGA